GGGCGATTTCAACCACAGAGAGACTGGGAAAACCTGGAGCCACATGGGAGTCCAGAAACATGGAGAGCCAAGATGATGGATGTGGTACTGGAAAACCTCATACACTAACATGTTAGGGACACTACCAGACAGAGAGAGTGGGGAAGATGAACCAGCAAGACTGGACCTCATGTTCACCCTGAGTAGCTCAGACATTGAGGACATCACATATGAAAGGCCCTTTGGAACTAGTGATCACGTGGTTCTGAGCTTTGAATGCATAGTAGAGTTACAAGTGGATGAGGTAACAGGAATAGAAAGGGAAAAGCCAAACTATAAAAGGGGGGACTACAAAGGCATGAGGAACTTCCTGCAGGAGGCTCAGTGGGAAAGAGAACTGGTAGGAAAGTCAGTAAATGAAATGATGGACTTCGTAACAACAAAATGCAAGGTGGCAGAGGATAGGTTTGTTCCCATGGGCAACTGAAATAATGGGAAGACCAGAATGAGCCCTTGATTTACCCAAAGGTGTAGCGAGGCAAAAACTAAGTGCACTAGAGAATATAAAAAAAGTACAAAAGTCAAAGGACCCAGGAAAATAGAGAGACTAGTCGAAGAGCCAGAAACAAGTATGCACTGACAAGAAGTGAGGCCCACCGACAGTACGAAAACAACATGGCATCGAAAGTCAAGTCTGACCTGAAACTGTTTTATAGCGACACCAGAAGGAAGACAGCAGTCAAGGACCAGCTAATCAGGCTGAAGAAAGACGATGGGGAGCTCACAAGAAACGATCAAGAAGTATGTGAGATATACCAACAAGTGTTGGTTGAAATACACACAACTGAGGAAGAGGTGAAGCACTGCTATGTGAAAATTTTAAAAACTCAAAAGGGAATGGGACCAACAACTCGACCCTGGGTCCTTTTGAGAGGGAGCAAAAGATGCTGTGTGTGCCACTAATCACAAAATTTTTTCACTCCCTTTTAAAGGGGCAAGGCCTGGCGTATGGGAAAAACGGCAAATGGGTCCTTATCTTTTAAAAAAAAAAAAACAGAAACGAACACCCAAACTTAAACCAGTGTCACTGCGGGTATAGCATGCAAAGTCAGGAGAAGAATTTCAGGGGGGTGGTGGGGCAACCCCGGAAAAAACAAAAATATAAACGACAGCCAACATGGATTTATGGAAAGCAAAAACCGGGGGTAAAAAAACCAAATTGAGTTTTTTGACAAGGAAAAAGGGAAAAAAGACATGAAAGAGGAACGGGTGGGGTTTATTGCAAATTTCTTGGATTGAAAAAAGGTCCTTTTAAAGCAGTTTTTACACAAGAGATTAGCCTGGAGTTTTCCTGGGGGAGAGTTTTCCGGGGGGGCAACGCCCCCGCGGCCCGGTCGAGACCAGGCTTTTGGGGGGGTCAGGCCTTTTATCAACCGGGTGTTTTCTGCTGGCTGCAAAGCCAAAAACCCAAAATAAGAGCCACACCCGGCTGATCCGGAACTGGAAATTTAGGGGCTTGTCCAGGGGCCAGCTTGAAGACCCGCCCGGGGGGCGTTGGGAATCCCCCTTAAAGTGTGCTTGGGGGGCAGTTTAAAAAATTCCCCGGGCCCCTGAAACTTTAAATTTTATGGTCCTTTAAAGTGCTAGGGCCCCCTGCTTTTCCTTTTGGGGGGGTGGGCAAAGCCCCCAAGTTTTTTTGCTTTCTTGGGGGTGGGTGATTTTCGTGTGCAAGTTCGGTACTAGTCCCTTAGGTTTTCCAGGTGTATATAATCATGTATCTCTCCCTCCTGCGTTCCAGGGAATACAGGTTTAGGAACCTCAAGCGCTCCCAATAATTGAGGTGTTTTATCTCCGTTATCCGCGCCGTGAAAGTTCTCTGTACATTTTCTAGGTCGGCAATTTCACCTGCCTTGAAAGGTGCTGTTAGTGTGCTGCAGATATTCCAGCCTAGATAGAACAAGTGACCTGAAGAGTGTCATCATGGGCTTGGCCTCCCTAGTTTTGAAGGTTCTCATTATCCATCCTGTCATTTTTCTAGCAGATGCGATTGATACAATGTTATGGTCCTTGAAGGTGAGATCCTCCGACATGATCACTCCCAGGTCTTTGACGTTGGTGTTTCGCTCTATTTTGTGGCCAGAATTTGTTTTGTACTCTGATGAAGATTTAATTTCCTCATGTTTACCATATCTGAGTAATTGAAATTTCTCATCGTTGAACTTCATATTGTTTTCTGCAGCCCACTGAAAGATTTGGTTGATGTCTGCCTGGAGCTTTGCAGTGTCTGCAATGGAAGACACTGTCATGCAGATTCGGGTGTCATCTGCAAAGGAAGACACGGTGCTGTGGCTGACATCCTTGTCTATGTCGGATATAAGGATGAGGAACAAGATGGGAGCGAGTACTGTGCCTTGTGGAACAGAGCTTTTCACCGTAGCTGCCTCGGACTTTACTCTGTTGACGACTACTCTCTGTGTTCTGTTAGTGAGGAAATTATAGATCCATCGACCGACTTTTCCTGTTATTCCTTTAGCACGCATTTTGTGCGCTATTACGCCATGGTCACACTTGTCGAAGGCTTTTGCAAAGTCTGTATATATTTACATCTGCATTCTTTTGTCTTCTAGTGCATTTAGGACCTTGTCGTAGTGGTCCAATAGTTGAGACAGACAGGAGCGACTGTTCTAAACCCATGTTGCCCTGGGTTGTGTAACTGATGGGTTTCTAGATGCGTGGTGATCTTGCTTCTTAGGACCCTTTCAAAGATTTTTATGATATGGGATGTTAGTGCTATTGGTCTGTAGTTCTTTGCTGTTGCTTTACTGCCCCCTTTGTGGAGTGGGGCTATGTCTGTTGTTTTTAGTAACTGTGGGACGACCCCCGTGTCCATGCTCCCTCTCCATAGGATGGAAAAGGCTCGTGATAGGGGCTTCTTGCAGTTCTTGATGAACACAGAGTTCCATGAGTCTGGCCCTGGGGCAGAGTGCATGGGCATGTCATTTATCGCCTGTTCGAAGTCATTTGGCGTCAGGATAACATCGGATAGGCTTGTGTTAATCAAATTTTGTGGCTCTCTCATAAAAATTCATTTTGATCTTCGACTCTCAGTCTGGTTTAGCTGCTTGCTAAAAACTGAGTCATATTGGGACTTGAGTAGCTCACTCATTTCCTTGTTGTCATCTGTGTAGGACCCATCTTGTTTAAGTAGGGGCCCAATACTGGACGTTGTTCTCGATTTTGATTTGGCATAGGAGAAGAAATACTTTGGGTTTCTTTCGATTTCATTTATGGCTTTTAGTTCTTCCCGCGATTCCTGACTCCTAAAGGATTCTTTTAGCTTAAGTTCGATGCTTGCTATTTCTCTGACCAGTGTCTCCCTACGCATTTCAGATATATTGACCTCTTTTAGCCGCTCTGTTATTCTTTTCCGTCACCTGTAAAGGGAGCGCCTGTCTCTTTCTGTTTTACATCTACTCCTCCTTTTTCTTAGAGGAATAAGCCTTGTGCATACATCGAGTACTACCGAGTTAATCTGTTCTAGGCATAAGTTGGGGTCTGTGTTGCTTAGTATATCTTCCCAGCTTATATCGGTTAGGACTTGGTTTACTTGGTCCCACTTTATGTTTTTGTTATTGAAGTTGAATTTGGTGAATGCTCCCTCGTGACTAATCTCCTTATGTCGGTCTGGGGCTCCGCGCATACATGACTGAACCTCAATTATGTTGTGATCTGCAGAAGCTAGAGGATCAGGGGCATATAACAGGAAGGGCACTGCAATGGATCAGAGAATACCTGACAGGGAGGCAACAGCGAGTCATGGTACGTGATGAGGTATCACAGTGGGCGCCGGTGACCAGCGGGGTCCCACAGGGGTCAGTCCCAGAAACCAATGCTATTTTTGGTATATGTGAATGACATGACGGAACGGATAGACTCAGAAGTGTCCCTGTTTGCAGATGATGTGAAGTTAATGAGGAGAATTAGATCAGATGAGTATCAGGCAGGACTACAAAGACACCTCGACAGGCTGGATGCATGGTCCAGCAACTGGCTCCTGGAATTTAATCCCGCCATATGCAAAGTCATGAAGATCGGGGAAGGGCAAAGAAGACCGCAGACACAGTATAGGCTACGTGGCCAAACACTACAAACCTCACTCAAGAAGAAAGATCTTGGGGTGAGTATAATACCGAGCATGTCTCCGGAAGCACACATTAACCAGATAACTGCTGCAGCATAAGGGCGCCTGGTAATCCTGAGAATAGCATTTCAATACCTCAGTAAAGAATCATTCAAAACTCTTTACACCGTGTACGTCAGGCCCATACTAGAGTACGCAGCACCAGTTTGGAACCCACACCTGGTCAAGCACATCAAGAAATTAGAGAAAGTGCAAAAGTTTGCAACAAGACTAGTTCCAGAACAAAGGGAAATGTCTTACAAAGAAAGGCTAAGGGAAATCGGCCTGACGACACTGAAGGACAGGAGGGTTTGGGGAGACATGATAACGACATACAAAATACTGCAAGGAATAGACAAGGTGGACAGGAACAGGATGTTCGACAGATGGGACACAGAAACAAGGGGTCACAATTGAAAGTTGAAGACTCAGATGAGTCAAAGGGATGTTAGGAAGTATTTCTTCAGTCATACAGTTGTCAGGAAGAGGAACAGTCTGGCGAGTGATGTAGTGGAGGCAGGAACCACACATAGTTTTAAGACGAGGTATGATAAAGCTCATGGAGCAGGGAGAGAGAGGACCCAGTAGCGGTCAGTGAAGAGGCAGGATCAGGAGCTGAGTCTCGACCCCTGCAACCACAAATAGATGAGTACAAATAGGTGAGTACAGTTCCAAATGATTCATACACAGTTGTGCTGAATACCCTCACACATGGGCACTGTTATACATCTTAACAAAATATTAGTCATTGTTCATTACTTCATGCCCCTCAAGGTGGTTCCTTAATACTTGTGTACGGCTCTGAATACTGCATCAAATGGAGCATATATAAGGGGCTGGCTGGAATGATCTCGGTCCACTTGTTTTACAGTCAACAACAGTAGAAGAACTCCCAAATATGAAGAGCTTCTTGCTTCTCGCTCTTACAGTTCTGGCTGCAGCAGCCAACGCTGCCCCGAGTAAGTGGCTATCATACTCTTTTTGTCCACGGAGTCACAGACTTAACTTACCCTCTTATTAAAGAAATGGATGGGCTGTGGTTATTAGTTAAGTTCCTGGGAGCAGGTCAGTAGTTCCTGGTAAGTAACCGGAGTCTTAGAGGCATTAAGATGATGTATGGAGTTATATTAACGTCTTCATTGGAGTCGATGGTCTTTATTGTGGATGATCTTATTACTTCTTTCAGATGAAGGAATCATATTTTTAGATTTTGCCACCGAAGTGGCTAGTTTATTGTGCACCCCATATCCATCCTGTGGATGGTAGCGCAAGAGCATATGGATACATAAAAGGCCTAGGAACTAGGCCCCAAAACAGTTAACAGGTGTACGTATGGATTTATATCTACATATCTACAGTTCACTTATCTGTTACAAGCAAATTTAGGAAATTTGCTTAGCATATCTGGTATCTTATTTTCATTAATAAGATATCTTGACATGTCACATAGGTTATTATACTGTCTGTCTCTGTATTCCTCAATAAGTGGACAATTAAGCACATAGTGTTCAAGACAGTGACCATATGCCTGATCACATAATTCGCATTTAGTTTGATCATCATCTGTGTGTCTCCCATGAACATACTTATCTATGTTCATGTTATCATAGTGGGTCATAGATCTACTCAGGCTTCTAACTGCATTCCTATAACAATCATTTTCGTTATTTACTTCTCTCCTAATATTATTCCTAATGCTAGACACAGATATACCAAAGTTATATTCTACATTCTCCTTCTGGGTACTCTTCTTGTCTAACATATCAACTTTATCATGAAGGAGTTATCCAGTGTGTGATGGGATCCATAGCAATTGTACATTAATCCCTTTGTCCCATATTGATAGTGATGCTTTATATTGACAAGTTATGCAAACTTGTGGGGACTGGAAGTAGAGGGTGTTCCAGGTGTCAACGCCCTCGCGGCCCGGTCTATAACCAAGCATCACTGTGGATCAAGGCACGATCAACCAGGCTGTTACTGCCGGCTGCATGTAATTCAACGTATTTAACGTAAACTATTAAGAATTATATTAACTTAAGTAACAAAATCAATTTGCAGATTAGTATTATTCTGTTCATGGAAGGACCTAAATCCGTAGGGGCTCATATACTGTGCCTTGGAAATGGTAGACAAGAAGGTTTGATCCAAGAAGGGACGCGTGCAGGTTCAAGTCCTCCAATAAAGAGTCCTTGACCAGCATCAGGGTTTTTACCCTTGTGATGTTCAATTTGTGGAAAATGAAAAGTCATCTAAAAATCAGGATGTAAATCATTTTTCGAGGTATCTAAATGAATATCCGAAGCTTCCCAGAGCAGTCTAATAATCGGATTAATGCCGCTGGTGGGCGAAACGTCTCTCAACAAAGACAACCGGATCTTGCACATGAGTTTTAATCATAAACTTGTAGGTATTATGTACTACTGTTTTAATGAAATGTGTTGCTTTCTATTAAAAATGCTCTTTTCATACACATTTTTCCACCTTGTTTTACTCTTATTTTTGTTTACACAGCTGCCCAGTCTGGTTCTCTCTTCGAGACGACCACCACTACCATCAGTCCTTTGAGTTTTGGCAGCCAATCAGTGCCACTAAGTCACTCCATCCAGACCCGTAATGCAAAACCAGCTGCATCACCAGTGAGTAGCATTACCTGTGTTGATTGTATGTGTGCTGTTGGGAGATGTTACCTGTGGTCACGTCGCTATTGTGGCCACAGTTAGAAATATAAAAATTAAAATGAATAAAAGTTAAATAGAACTAAACAAAATGGGAAATCGAAAAAAAATGATTAAATGTGAAGATCCGCTTTCCTTTTCCTTTGCAGTCTGATGATTCCGCAGAAGATAACGACGAAGACGGCAAGACTGAAGCGCCTGCCACCACCACTGCTCCCATTGATGCAAACAAACCTGCTGCCTCCCCCACTGATGCAAACAAACCTGCTGCCTCCCCTACCGATGCAAACAAGCCTGCTGCCTCCCAAACTGATGCAAACAAACCTGTTGCCTCGCAGATCGATGGAACCAAACCTGTTCTCTCTCTCATCTAAGGAAACACGCCTTTGCACCCTCCAGCCCCGGCAACGTAAGTACTGCGGTTGAAGTAGCTTTCACAGAGACTTGGTAATGAAAGAACAGTAGTTGTCAAAGGACAACCTTCAATTCTGAACGAACTGCTCTAAATGTTCCTTTGCCACAGCTTAGGCTTAAATGTTTTGCAACATAATCTCACTAGGCTCTGGCGTCTTGTGTTAATATTACTCAATTTGGGCTGTTTGTATATTAATATTACACATCGTGGGCTGTGTTTATACCAGCATTACTCATTGCGGGCTCTGGTTATAAATGTGTCACAAAACGGAAGTTCAAAATTACAATTTCTAGGGTTTATGTAATCCCACACATTTATTAATAGCTTAATATTAAGGCCAATAAGAAGATCATTTAAAACACTACAAGGTCTAAGATTTTCAGTTTTTCATTTTGATTTTATTCTTTATTTTAGACTGGCTTCAACTCACGACCTGTGAGGCAAGTAGCCACAAGTTCCACCACTGTCAAGACGACTATCAACTAAATTAGTGGTTCATTCCCACTAACCACTAGGACGACCCTCCAGGTACCATCCTCTGGTGGTACACCATCACTACCTCTCTCAAGAACACCTCTAATTTACAAATCAAAACCTGTGAATCAGAACTATGCTAATATCACCTTGTTCGAGTATTCTAGACAGCATCCAGGCTAGATCCCTCAGACTCGCAACAGCCTAAATCTTTGTCACCAGTCTGCTGTTGCCTTGCTCTACCGTCTTCCATAGTTAGTGTGTTTTAGCAGTGGCTTCTTCAGTCCAATGCAGAGAAAGGTGGAATAAGGACTGAAGAAGCCACTGGCTGGCGAAACATTTCCAGATTAAAGATTCCCAAAAGTTGCTCAACTGTCTCATTTATCAACTTGTCGGTTAGCTATCAAAGCTTTGGGGCCCAGTCCCTGGACCCATTATGTACCTCTGTAATCTTTTGACTACCGCCCACAGGATGGGTATGGGGTGCATGATAAACATATTAAACTAACTTGTCGGTTATATGAACCGTTCATTCACACAGTAATTGTTACCTTTATAGTAACAATCACTCATTATATTGTTTCGAGCCATCTCTGTCACTCCAAAACACAAAGTTGGCTCCAGTATCTTGACTCACAGCTGGAGCCGCTTCTGTTACTGTCAACACTCGTCTGTTTAACTTTACACACTGATAAACACACAACTCTGTCATCAGTACCTGCACCACTGATGCTTGGAATTTCATTCACTAGAGATCCAATGCTCCTTTAACAGTCAACTACAGAGGTTAAGCAGAATCAAGTCTCGTATAGATACGATGCATGATCTGTCCCATGGGAGTTATGATCGAACAATTAATGGCGAAATTGCTCTTTTTTTTTCATTGGTGTACTTCAAATCGCTTGTTCTCTCTAAGCTGGAATATTGCTGTACACTAACTACCCCCTTCAAGGCAGGCAAAATTGCTCACCTGTAGAATGTACAGAGAACTTTCACGACACATATAAGTACAATAAAGCACCTAAATTACTGGGAAACGGTTTTAAGCCACTTGAATTGTATTCCCTGGAATGTAGGCGAGAAAGATACATGATAATAGACTTGGAAAATCCTGGAGCAGTGATTCTCAACCAGGGGTAAAATTACCCCTTAGGGGTAAAAATTACATGGCAAGGGGTAAATATTTGTGAGCTGTTTTTGTGCAAAACGTGAATAATTTATTTTCTTCTGACTTTCTTGTTTTTCTGTCCCTTTATGATGGCGATAATTTTTTTGTATGGAAGTAAGGGGGTAAATGGAGAAATGCATCAAGCCGAGGGGGTTAATGATGGAGAAAACGTTGAGAATCCCTGTCCTAAAGGGATTAATACCAAGCCTACACAAAAATCACTCCCATTGAAAGTAAAACTCTCGGCAGGAGATGCAACATTCCCCCATTGAAAAGTAGGGTCGCCAAGAGTACACTGAAAGACAACACAATAAGTTTACCTGGAGTGAGGGGCCCAAGACTGTTCAACTGCCTCGCAGCATACATAAGGGGGATTACCAATAGACCCCTGACTGTCTTCAAGAAGGTGCTGGTCAGACACCTAAAGCCAGTACCTGATCAGCCAGGCAGTGGTTCGTAAGTCGGTTTATGTGCAGCCAGCAGTACACCACGAGGCCTGGTCTAGAACTGGGCCGTGGGGGCGTTGACCCCCGAAACTCTCTCCAGGTTAAAACCAATCAAATATTTTACTGTCCTTAACTAGCAATGTTCTTACACACTGTTACAACCCAGGCACAATAAGGCCTGTTATCCTGGGTGTGAAGGAGAACAAGGAGCAGAACAAACACACCTGAATGACTTTGAAATATATTTTCCTTCACCAAGAGCAATGTTGATATTTACACATATGTACACTATATAAAGTTGGAAATGTATGTGTACAACACAGTTAAGGCGAGGCCAAGACACAGCCTGGAGACAGAATAGACAACCGTGCTCAACCAGCTCTAGTATGGAAATGACAAGGGTAGACGGATGGGTGGTGCCCACACCTCTACGATTGCCAGACCCACCTTCTCATTGGCTGAACCTGGGTACTGATTGAACGATGGGGACCCATCGTTCAACCCTAGTACTGGTTCACTGGTTGGGGAGATAGCCTTTCAATGAGGGTGTGTACATGCGCCGAATAAAGGTTACATACTTTCTGCATGCTACACACACACACACACACACACACACACACAGAGCAGTCGTAGAGCCAGAAATGAATATGTACAGACAAGGAGGACAGTCCAACGACAATATGAAAATGACATAGCAGTGATAGCCAAATCTGATCCTAAGCAGTTGTACAGCCACATCAGGAGGAAAACAACAGTAAACGACCAGGTAATCAGGCTGAGGAAGTAAGGAAGGAGGGAAGATCTCAAGAAACGACCGAGAAGTATGTGAGGAGCTCAACATGAGATTCAAAGAAGTGTTCACAGAGGAGACAGAAGGGACCCCAGAAAGACGGGCAGGTGGGGTACACCATCAAGTGTTGGACACAATACATACAACCGAGGAAGAAGTGAATAGGCTGCCAAGTGAGCTAGATACCTCAGAGGCGATGTGGCTGGATAACATCTCTCCATGGGTCCTGAGAGAGGGAGCAGAGGCACTATGTGTACTACTAACAACAGTCTTCAACACATCTATCAAAACAGGGCAATTACCAGAATTATGGACGCTTAGCTGAAGTTAAGCGATGTTTCCCCATACACCCGGGCACCAAGCTCGTTTTGAAAGTTATTTCATCGAATCCTGCCACATGTAGTGGGTTTTACCTGGAGTTTACCTGGAGAGAGTTCTGGGGGTCAACGCCCCCGCGGCCCGGTCTGAGACCAGGCCTCCTGGTGGATCAGAGCCTGATCAACCAGGCTGTTGCTGCTGGCTGCACGCAAACCAACATACGAGCCACAGCCCGGCTGATCCGGAACTGACTTTAGGTGCTTGTCCAGTGCCAGCTTGAAGACTGCCAGGGGTCTGTTGGTAATCCCCCTTATGTGTGCTGGGAGGCAGTTGAACAGTCTCGGGCCCCTGACACTTATTGTATGGTCTCTTAACGTGTAGTGACACCCCTGCTTTTTTATTGGGGGGATGGTGCATCGTTCTGCCAAGTCTTTTGCTTTCGTAATGAGTGATTTTCGTGTGCAAGTTCGGTAATAGTCCCTCTAGGATTTTCCAGGTGTATATAATCATGTATCTCTCCCTCCTGCGTTCAGGGAATACAGGTTTGGACCTCAAGCGCTCCCCAATAATTTAGGGTTTTTCTCCGTTATGCGGGGGTTTAAGGGGGGGGGTTCCCCCCGGGGGCCAAAAATTTTTTTAAAAAAAAAAAGGGGGCCCCCCCCCAAAAAAAAAAAGGGGGGGGCCCCCTTTAGGGGGGGCCCAACCCAAAAAAGGTTCCGGGGGGGGCCCCCCCCAAAAGGGGGGGGGAAAAAATTTTTTAAAAAACCGGGGGGGGGGGCCCCCCCCCTTTTTTTGGGGGGGGCCCCCCGGGGGTTTTAAAGGGGGGGTTTTTTTAAAAACCCCCCCCCCCCAAAAAAAAAAAAAACCCCCCCCCTTTTGGGTTAATTTTGGGCCCGGGCCCCCCAAAAAAAAGGGGGTTTTTTTTAAATTTTTTTCCCCCGGTTTTTTTTGGGTTTTTTTTCCCCGGGGGGGGGGGGGCCCCCCCGGGGGGGAAAACCCCTGGGGGGGGGAAAAAGGGGGCCCCCGGGGGGCCCCCCAAAAAAATTTAAGGGGCCCCCCAATCCGGTTTTTTAGGGGGGGGGTTTTTTGGGGGGGGGGGGGGTTTTCCCCCTTATTTTTTTAATTTTTTTGGGGGGGGGTTTTTTTTTTTTTTTTTTGGGTTTTTTTTTTTGGGGGTTTTGGTCTTTTTTGGGGTTTTTTTTTTTTTTTTTTGGGGTTTTAACCCCCTTTTTTCCAAAAAATTTTTTTTCCCCCCCTTTTTTTGGGGTTTAAGTTTTCCCGGGGGGGTTTTTTTGGGGGGGAAAAAGGGGCCCTTTTTTTTTTTTTTTTGGAAATTTGGGAAAAAACCGTTTTTTGGTTTTGGGGGGGGGTAAAAATTTTTTGGGGGGGGTTTTTTTTTTTTTTTTAAAAAGGGGGGTTGTTTTTGGGTTTTTGGGGGGGGGTTTTTTTTTTTTCCCCCTTTTTTTTGGGGAAAGGGTTTTTTTTTTTTTTTTTTTGGGGGGAATTTAAATTTTTAAAAATTTTCTTTGGTTTTTTTTTTTGCCCCCCTTTTTTTTTTTTTCCCATTTTTTTAAAAAAAATTTTTTTGGGGTGCCCGGGGGGCCTTTTTTTTTGGGGGAACTTTTTTTTTTTTTCCGGGGGTTTTTTTGGGGGCCCGGGGGTTTTTTTGGGGCCCCCCCCTTTTTTTTGGGCCTTTTTTTTTGGGGGTTTTTGGCCCCGGGGTTTTTTTTTTTAAGGGTTTTTTTTTTTTCCCCCTTTTTAAAATTTTTTTTTTTGGGGGGGTTTTTTAAATTTTTTGGGTTTTTTTTTTTTGGGGTTTTTTGGGGGCTTTTGGGGTTTTTTTGGGGGGAAAAAGGGGGGGCCCCCCCCCCCGGGGGGGGGGGGTTTTTTTAAAAAGGGGGTTTTTTCCCCCCAAATTTTTTAAAAGGGGTTTTTATTTTAAATTTTTTTTTTTGGGGGGGGGGGGGGTTTTTGGGGGAAAAACCGGGGGGGCCCCCTTTTTTACCCCCCGGGGGTTTTTAAAACCTTTTGGGGGGGGTTTTTTTTAAAAAAATTTTTTTTTTGGGGGGTTGGGGTTTTTTTGGGGGGTTTTGGGGGTTTTTTTAAAAAAATGGGTTTTTTTTTTTGGGGGGTTTTAAAAAAAATTTTTTTTTTTGGGGTTTTGGGGAAATTTTTTTTGGGGGGAAATTTTTTTTGGTTTTTTTGGGGGGAAGGGGGGAAAAAGGGGTTTTTCCGTTTTTTTATTTTTTTGGTTTTAAAAAAAATTTTTTTTTTTTTTTTTTTTTTTTTTCCCCCCCCAAAAATTTGGGGGCCCTTTTTTTCCCCTTGTTTTTTTTTCCTTTTAAACCCCCTTTTTTTTCCCTTTTTAAATTTTTTTTTTTTTTTTGGGGGAAAAAATTTTTTTTTTTTCCCCCTTTTTTTTAAAAAAATTTTTTGGTTCCGGTTTTTTTTTTTTTTAAAAACTTTTTTTTTTTGGGGAAAATTTTTTTTTTGGTTTTTGGGTTTTTTTCCCTTTTTTTTTTTTAATTTTTTTGGGGGCCCCCGGTTTTTAAATTTTTTTTTTTTTTTTTTTTTTTTTTAATTTTTTTTTAAATTTTTTTTTTTTAAAATTTAAAATTTGGGGGGTTTTTGGGCCCCCCCCCCTTTTTTTTTTTTTTTAAAAAATTTTTTTGGGTTTTTTGGGGAAATTTTTTTTCCCCCCTTTTTTTTTTCCCCCCTTCCTTTTTTTTCCCCCCCGGGGGGGGGAAAAAACCCCCCTTTTCCCCCCCTTTTTTGGTTTCCCTTTAAAATGGGGGGGCCCCTTCCCCAATTTTTTTTTGGAAAGGGGTTTTTAAAATTTGGGGTTTTTTTCCCCCTTTTTTTTTCCGGGGGGCCCCCCTTTTCTTTTTTTTTTTTTTAAAAATTTGGGGGGGGGCCCCCCTTTTCCCCCCCCCCCTTTTTTTTGGGGGGAAAAGGGGGTTTTAAAAATTTTTTAAAATTTTTTTTTTAAAAAAAAGGGGAAAGTTTTAAAAAAAAAAAATTTTTTGCCAATAAAAATTTTTAAAAAAAGGGGTTTTTTTGGGGGGGTTTTTAAAAAAAAGGGGGGGTTTTTTTCCCAAAAAAAAAAAAATTTTTAAAAAAAAATTTAAAGAAAAAAAAAAAGGGGGTTAACCCCTTAAATTAAATTTTTTCCCCCAAACTTTTAACAAAAAAAAAAAATTTTTAAATTAAATTTTTAAAAAAAAAATTTTTTTCCCAAATTTTTAACCCCCCCAAAAAAAATTTTTAAAATTTAATTTTTTTAAAAAAAAAAACCGGGGGG